AGTAGTGGGCACAGCAATAGGTTTAGTCACTGAATTTTAAAAATATGGGCAAAAAATTTTCAGCAGTAGTGGGAGCCAAGCGAAAACACTTCGCTCATGCTGCTTGCATCACAGCGATAATGAGAGTAAGTGCCCTATTGGCTGCCCTTCATATAGGAAAAAAAATATTACATGCCCCCCACATACAATAAATTATGATGATATGCCTTCTAGAACAAGTAAATTCGATATGTCTTAATCAGCGCCCGTCTAGTGGAGAAAATGTGATTGTTACTAACGATGACACAATAACGTTTAAAATATTCATTCTTACATCTGTTCCATCCATTTACCCTGCAAATCCGTTTACCATGCCCATGTGGGTCTGCTGAGGGCTATCTGTGGGCTGTGTGGGCTTGGGCTAGTCAACAGATAACCCTGTATTGGCCAGCCTACAGAGGGCCTACATCGCTGATCCCAAGTGTGGGCCCTTAATAGATTTGGGTGAGCAGTACACACAGATAGCCTGATACAAGCCCACTGCGGGTCACTCCACACTGGGCTCAAATCATTTAGCCTACTGTGGGCGTTCAATGGGTTTGAATGGGCAGTACACAACAGCTAGTGTACAGATAACCCAACATATCAACACAATTTAAGTGTTTATTATTCAATTTTGGTATGTAAACATTGTTTCAGTTTTTTATTACATTAAGGTATGAACTTGACTTCAATGTTGGTATTTTAAAGTCATTTGAATGTTACTATGACATTAGTTCTAAGTACGTCTTCAATATCACCAATACAATTTCAATGTAAACACTGTAAATAAAATAGTGAAATGGTATTTTTACTAGCAAATTGTTTAATAAAAGTAAAAAGATAATATTCAGGATTTAACCTGATAGAAAATATTTGGTCTCATATCAAACACAAACTTGCAGTGTTTCAGCTATTTGAAGCCATCAATGTTGAGTGGAACAATACTCCTCTTTCTGTAAAAGTCGCTTGGCAAGTTTATTTACAAAACTTTAAAGAAATCAAAGAGACAGATTATCTCATAGTGTGGATTACATAGCTTTTGGGTCCATTTGATTTTTTTTTTTAGTCTGATATTGGGTAATGATAATCAAGTCACATATTTTAGGATTATTGAGATGTTCTGATATTGAGAGTTTTTATATTTACACTTTGACAAGCTGGCTGCAAAAACCAGGCAGACAACATGTATGTAGGCTGTATAGTTTTATTTTTCTGGATAATAAATATAACAACAACAACAAAAAAATACATTTTATGGATGCGCTAAAAGTGTTGTTGGTTTAGAACTTGAATAATATTACATATTCCCTATAATTATTTACGAAAACATTTTCTACAATTAAGTCTATTCTTAATACTTGCTGCAAAGAAATGGACCTGAATATACTTTACATTTTTATAGTATGAATCAGGTCTGTATACAAAATGACAATATTCTAATATATTTGCCCATAATTATATTCTCAAATACCTCCCTACACTTAAGTCTGTGCACACCAGCGCATCACTATGTTCTAGTGGAAGGTAAATAGTCATCACTGCTGGAAGTCACATTAACATGAAATATTTAAATTGTGAGGTGTGACTACAAAATAAGACATAATTAAACTTTTGTATGTGTGTGTGTGTGTGTCTGCTGATATGGAAAATAAATAGCTACAAATAATAATTAATAAATAAATAAATTAATAATTATTACCGCATGCAAAGAAATTAATGTCAGACTTTAATTATTTATGTGTACATTGTTTTTTAATGTGTATTTGCATACATTTATAAAGATTTTCATTATTATTTTTATTACTGTATTTGTTTTTTATATTGCAGACCTTGTCCTCTGTAGTGTTTGTGAGAGTGTGTGCTTAGTTGAGGTTTGTGAAGTTAGAAGGTCCCTGAGGTTGGAAGTTTCTGAACATTCTTCTGTTTCAGCACTGTGCCTCTATTTGGAAAGCAAGCAGAAGTGCAAAACAAATTATAGGGTAATTTGCATAAAATGCTCATAGGATTTTAAGGTTTGGTGTGAATTGCTTTTTCAGTTAACTTAAGAGTGACTACTCCTGACCGCTAAGCTCCCAAAAATCATAGCTTTCTCATAATCAAGGATGAAAACTATTTCATCATGCATATATCGTAGTCTTTTGTGCCCTTGGTGCACTTTTTATTTTTTAGCCCATTTGGGCATTCAAGCTGGAAATTAAGTAAATGAAAGTGGCCTCTAACTTCTGCACAGAGCTGTATTACTGGAAAGTGTTTCCATACTTTTGAACAGTAGTGTCTTATCCTGATAATGTAAGTACAGATTTCACAAAACGTTTAATATATTCAAAGACTTGATAATAATCTTCACCAAGTCTCCAAATCTTGCACATTTCAATGTCTCAGTTCCAAAAGCTGTGCATGCATATCATAGTGCCCTATTTGACTGTTGGTTCCTCGCAATGGTTCTTCCTCGTGCTCTTAGGGAGTTTCTTGTTTTGAGTCTTGGTTCCCCTCGGTGGTTCTTTCTCATGCTCTTAGGGAATTTGTTCTTTTGAGTCTTGGTTCCTCTCAGTGGTTCCTCCTCGTGCTCTTAGGGAGTTTGTTCTTTTGAGTCTTGGTTCCTCTCAGTGGTTCCTCCTCGTGCTCTTAGGGAGTTTGTTCTTTTGAGTCTTGGTTCCTCTCAGTGGTTCCTCCTCAAGCTCTTAGGGAATTTGTTCTTTTGAGTCTTGGTTCCTCTCAGTGGTTCCTCCTCGTGCTCTTAGGGAATTTGTTCTTTTGAGTCTTGGTTCCTCTCAGTGGTTCCTCCTCGTGCTCTTAGGGAGTTTGTTCTTTTGAGTCTTAGTTCCTCTCAGTGGTTCCTCCTCGTGCTCTTAGGGAGTTTCTTGTTTTGAGTCTTGGTTCCCCTCGGTGGTTCTTTCTCATGCTCTTAGGGAATTTGTTCTTTTGAGTCTTGGTTCCTCTCAGTGGTTCCTCCTCGTGCTCTTAGGGAGTTTGTTCTTTTGAGTCTTGGTTCCTCTCAGTGGGTTCCTCCTCAAGCTCTTAGGGAATTTGTTCTTTTGAGTCTTGGTTCCTCTCAGTGGTTCCTCCTCGTGCTCTTAGGGAATTTGTTCTTTTGAGTCTTGGTTCCTCTCAGTGGTTCCTCCTCGTGCTCTTAGGGAGTTTTGTTCTTTTGAGTCTTAGTTCCTCTCAGTGGTTCCTCCTCGTGCTCTTAGGGAGTTTGTTCTTTTGAGTCTTAGTTCCTCTCAGTGGTTCCTCCTCGTGCTCTTAGGAAGTTTGTTCTTTTGAGTCTTAGTTCCTCTCAGTGGTTCCTCCTCAAGCTCTTAGGGAGTTTGTTCTTTTGAGTCTTGGTTCCTCTCAGTGGTTCATCCTCAAGCTCTTAGGGAGTTTGTTCTTTTGAGTCTTGGTTCCTCTCAGTGGTTCCTCCTCGTGCTCTTAGGGAGTTTGTTCTTTTGAGTCTTAGTTCCTCTCAGTGGTTCCTCCTCGTACTCTTAGGGAATTTGTTCTTTTGAGTCTTAGTTCCTCTCAGTGGTTCCTCCTCGTGCTCTTAGGAAGTTTGTTCTTTTGAGTCTTAGTTCCTCTCAGTGGTTCCTCCTCAAGCTCTTAGGGAGTTTGTTCTTTTGAGTCTTGGTTCCTCTCAGTGGTTCATCCTCAAGCACTTAGGGAGTTTGTTCTTTTGAGTCTTGGTTCCTCTCAGTGGTTCCTCCTCGTGCTCTTAGGGAGTTTGTTCTTTTGAGTCTTAGTTCCTCTCAGTGGTTCCTCCTCGTACTCTTAGGGAATTTGTTCTTTTGAGTCTTAGTTCCTCTCAGTGGTTCCTCCTCAAGCTCTTAGGGAGTTTGTTCTTTTGAGTCTTGGTTCCTCTCAGTGGTTCCTCCTCGTGCTCTTAGGGAGTTTGTTCTTTTGAGTCTTGGTTCCTCTCAGTGGTTCCTCCTCATGCTCTTAGGGAGTTTGTTCTTTTGAGTCTTAGTTCCTCTCAGTGGTTCCTCCTCAAGCTCTTAGGGAGTTTGTTCTTTTGAGTCTTGGTTCCTCTCAGTGGTTCCTCCTTGTGCTCTTAGGGAGTTTGTTCTTTTGAGTCTTAGTTCCTCTCAGTGGTTCCTCCTTGTGCTCTTAGGGAGTTTGTTCTTTTGAGTCTAAGTTCCTCTCAGTGGTTCCTCCTCATGCTCTTAGGGAGTTTGTTCTTTTGAGTCTTAGTTCCTCTCAGTGGTTCCTCCTCGTGCTCTTAGGAAGTTTGTTCTTTTGAGTCTTGGTTCCTCTCAGTGGTTCCTCCTTGTGCTCTTAGGAAGTTTGTTCTTTTGAGTCTAAGTTCCTCTCAGTGGTTCCTCCTCAAGCTCCTAGGGAGTTTGTTCTTTTGAGTCTTAATTCCTCTCAGTGGTTCCTCCTCGTGCTCTTAGGGAGTTTGTTCTTTTGAGTCTTGGTTCCTCTCAGTGGTTCCTCCTCAAGCTCTTAGGGAGTTTGTTCTTTTGAGTCTTGGTTCCTCTCGGTGGTTCCTCCTCGTGCTCTTAGGGAGTTTGTTCTTTTGAGTCTTGGTTCCTCTCAGTGGTTCCTCCTCAAGCTCCTAGGGAGTTTGTTCTTTTGAGTCTTAATTCCTCTCAGTGGTTCCTCCTCGTGCTCTTAGGGAGTTTGTTCTTTTGAGTCTTGGTTCCTCTCTGTGGTTCTTTCTCATGCTCTTAGGGAGCTTCTTCCTCTGTGATGGTCATTGTTTTAATAAAATTTCCGGAAAGATGCTTTGGAACTGTTCTGAAATGTGCTTTACAAATAAAATTATGCTGATTCAAACTGTGTTGAAACTTTTTTTCATGCAGAGCTCGCTAAAATGGTAACTCCTATGTTAATTACAAATAGATTATTATACACACTGTAAAAAACTGTTATATTCCAAAGGATTCACCACAATCTGGTTTAATCACCCTGTCAAAATGGTACTTCACTGTTAGAAAAAAATTGGCAAAAACAATAAAAAGACCAAAATAAAACTGATAGGAATATGAACCGTGTACACTTACCAATAGTGAAGATAGTGATCAGTAAGATCAGGACACAGTGACCGATGATCAGCTGCATGACTGAAATACAGAGACACAAAACACTGTCAGTACTGAAGAGGAGAGGAAAAACAGATGAGACAAAATATTCAAAGGAATATTCAAAACATCAAAATCGATAAATAAGTCCCTTATATCAAGTGATACACCACCTGTTTAGATCCACAGCACAAGAGATTTGATCTCTGTACTACCAGCAGAATAATCCAGTCTTAGTTTTCACATCAGTAATCTGGACAAAACAATTTTATCAGGTCTAAAAAAGACACTTGGATTTCAGCGTAAACAATCAGGTTATGGCTGGTGCTGGTAGCAAATCTTGGCTATCCCTGTTTCTGTCAGTGTGACACTGGTGTCAGAAGTGGAATGAAGGTAGCCGAGAGGAGTGCTGCTGCTACTGTCATCGCCCCCAGCAGCACCAGACTTTGAGGAGTTCCACTGCACCCAGGAGGAGGATGCGGATGGCTCCAGGCAGGTCAGAAACTGGATTGGGCAGACGTGACATCGCACGGGCCCACCACTAAGGTGCTTGTGGCTGGCATGGGCTCTTCTGTGTGGGTCTCAAAAGAGGACTGCCCCAGGAGGATGGCATGTTAGTTTTAAGTTGTGTGTTATCAGCATTTATTCACTGGGTTCATTTTTCTAGAGACTCTAATTTGAGGAGGCAGGGCTGGGAACTACCCTGGCAGGGGTATATGTGGTATGAGCAGAGAGACATGTGAGCAACGTCAGAGACCGACCTGTTAGAGAAAACTCTATTATGTACCGAGTAGCTATGGCGGACAACAGCTGGAAAATAAAGCACTGCAACTTGTGTAAAAGCTGTGTCTCTTTTAAAAGCGGTGAACACCACAGTATTTTTACTGTATAATTACAGTAAATTTAATGAATTTTTTAAAATGTTACATGTTGCTTACCTGAGCTGCAACACTGAAAATTGTTAGTTAAGAGAACTAAACTAAGAAGTTTAAGCTGGGTGAACTCTGGTGTCCTCAGATTGAGTTAACACAAAAGACGGTTCATTCTTACATGTTAACATGTTACATGTGTTTGTTGTTGGATTTGTATATCTTGGGAACCCATTAATAAGAGTGTTCTTGCATTTATAAGTGTGGTAAAAGAGACAAGCCAGCCACAAAAAGACACTTTCAGATATCATTGCTTTTGGATAAAAACCTTGCCTCAATAAAGTGATACTGTAATGGATCTCTGTGCCTCTTTATCCTGTGAATGGGGAATGACAGAGCACTTAAATTGCTGGCAAAATCTGAGATCATTCTTAGGGAAATGAATATTTCTGTATTTGTTGTTCATCGTTTTGTGAGGGTTGTCTGAGCAATCACACAGTTGTTGAGCTGAGTCTGAAGTTTGTGAATTAGCATATGTGTGCAGGTATTAGATATCGCATTACAGCCTATACATGTTGATAATCTTAAAGACGGTATTTTCCTCAGTAGTTCCTATGAGCAAATAAAGGCAACTATGCTACACCTGCCGTTTAAATGAGTATGTTGTTTGCGGGTTTATGGGCTTTTGGGTTCATGTTTGTCTTTCTTTTGATTTTGATTATGAATAATTTGGTTGGGCAGGGCTTCGCTTTTTACAAGGGGCACATAGAGCCCAAACGGGGACTCTGGTTTTTGGAGCTGGAGAGGCAAGTCGGATGTCCTGAATGTCAGGGTCTTTGTGATATAGCCTGTTTTCTAGCTGGCTGATTGCAGGCATTTTCTTTTGTATTTTGTACAGTGTTTTTATTTACTATTTTCAGATCTCTGCTACAGAGAAGTCTGTCTGAGTGAACTCTCTGCTTCATTCCCCTCAGTCAGCTTGCTAACAGGTACCTTTGCAGAAGAAATACTCCTTGGATCAGTTAGCCTGTTCACCATGAAATGTTCGTACACTGTGCACTGTAAAAATGACAGAATTTATCTTCCAAAAGTAACAATGCTGACTTAATAAGTTCAGGCAACACACTTACACAGATTTAAATACAGATTTGATATTTAATTAACTCAAAATATTAGATCAGGCACAAATAAATTTAAGTTGAATTGCAAACTTGGATGTTTAATGTACTTTGTGTTTTAAGGCACAAAGTTGGACTAACTAAATTTAACATTTTAAACCAATAGTTTTCAATTTCTTTGTTCAGGCAACAGAAAAAAGCAACCTAATATTATTTACAGTGTATTGAGAAGGAAATGCTGCCAGGGCTGTTATTAAAATATGATTTTACGATCTTCACTGTTATTTACAGTCCATCTGAACATTAACACTGAATGGACATTGGAACATTAGACGGGGTCAGTTTCTCAATACAAACTGCAAAGCCAACTGTAGTCTCTGTAATTCATTTCACCTTGCTCATTCAGATGGGTCCAAAGATCCACACACAGCCTTGCATTTATTCTAAACTATTTAAAAGGTCCTTCAAGAGTTCTTTAGTAAACACACTGGAGAACCAAGAACACTCAAAGAAACATTTCAATGGTTCTTCCTTATGGAAAGCCTGCTGTATATGGTTCTTTAAAAAAACCTTTTTAAAATGGTTCTAGCACCATAAATTTTTCGATTATTGTTACAGGTCATCTCTGCACCAGTATTTCTTCACTCTCGTTTAAAGAGAACCTCAAAAACTCTTAATTCATGTTAGTATCCTTTAGTACCACATTCAAACTATTACACTTGTTTTTGTTTATTTATGTATTTGAATAGTATGCAGCCCCAGCTAAATTTTACACAGATAAATTCTACTTTAGAAAAAAAGGTTAATTACTGAAATTTGTGAATGCACATTTAGAATTTTTCTATTTTAAAACTGAACATTAATATCGAATTTTATTAATGATTGATGATGATGTGTAATTAGCCCTGCAATGGACTGGAGACCTGTCCAGGGTGTATCCTGCCTTCCGCCCAATGACAGCTGGGATAGGCTCCAGCACCCCACCGCGACCCAGAAGGATAAGCGGTTTAGATGATGATGATGATGTGTGTGCGTGTGTGTGTGTGTGTGTGTGTGTAATTACAGAAAATGCCAATCCACAATTTCACTGTACTTATAGTGCTAGAATAAGTCTTACTGTTCAAAAGTACAACCTAACAAAAAAAAGTTCTCATCTTAATATCGATTTTCAGAGTATTTCATGTTGTGTGCGCATCTCTTTAGTTTAAACTGACTGATGCACACGGACAACACATTCAGTAAATCTGATTATCAAACTGAGATGCTCTAAACAAATATCCTGATCTATAAACAAACAAACCCACTGTACAAACATGTATTTGAGTAAAATCTAAAATAATAGCCTACAATTACTCGACTAAAGTGTTGTCAGCAATTCACTCTCCCGAATACTACTAAGGTAAGGTACCTAATACCTTAAATACTCCTCCTATTCAGCCAGTTAGAAAGTGTTGCCAGTTCCCTCCTGTCTGACTACTGAGTGTTTGTTTTGTCTGTCTTGCTGGTGATTTGAACCTCTGCCTGATCTGTTGGAATCTGCTTTTGCCTTTTGTCCCTTTTGCTCTCTCTGCCTGGCTTTTTGGACTGATTTCTCTGTTATGACCCTTAGCCTTTTGACATCGAGTTTTGGACTGCCCTTTTTGTCAATAAATCTGCACATGGATCCTTCTCAAGTTCCTGAGTCTGCTTCGTCACAAGTGTTTTGCAGGTCACAAACAACACAAGCTAATTATTCAATCATTTTTATTAACTATGCTGTAAAAAATGATTGTGTTTTAAATTAAAAGGTAAGCAATCTGGTAATAGTTGTCCAATACTAAGAGCAAATACCAATCAATAAAAACAATGAACAATATTTGTGGCCATTTGAAAAAATGAGGAGACCTACACAATTGTAGTTCACTACCAGTTACTTATACTTCACTGGAGGCACTAAATATTTGACATATTCATCTGACAGGAAAAAGTTTAAGATGAAGTCTGACACCAGTTTTGTTCTCACAGAAACATTCTTTGTGTTTAATTTAAGTCAAGAACTAGCTGACACAGTTGAAAAAAGTTTCACTTCTTCTTCTCCTAAACCTCAATGTTTCAAATGATCTGTATACTCACATCTTTATTGTGCCATATTCCAACCATTAACGGTGGGAACAGTGCTTATTGTAAAAATCACTGCACAATTCTAGACTCATGTTCTCAACTCGTTCCTGTACAGTGTAAACTTTATTTTTGTGATGAATTTCTTTCTCAGTGTCAGATCCACCATCAACCTGTACATTTCCTTTACACAAATCTGAACATGCGCAGTGTCTGCTTTTCTTTAGGCTAATTTTAGATTTTGCTCCAATAGGGTCATTTTTTTCAATTTTACATAAACAAATTCTACATAATGTTCTAATGATCCTAACTTCATGTTTTTCATTATGTGATGAAATCGATCAGTATCTCAACAAAACATCAACATTTTCATTACCACCAGGCAAAACACGCACTGCTCACAAACCAGATTTATTACCACATTCGGAATAGCTGTGATAAACTTACCTTCTGTTCAAAATTCTGGCTTGTTTTGTTTTCCGTTTCTCTCTGTGACTCCAGCAGTTTGGAGGCAGGAAACACAGTGATTTAAATGGAAGTGGCTGAAGAGGAAGGACTGAGACAGACAGTCCACTTCAGACCAGAATGGCTCTAAATCATGCGGACACCATGACTCACTGGCAATGGTGAACACACTGTTCAGCTCTCCAGTAAGTGGATAGCACATCACTGTTGGCTTGCTGGTGGCCCAATGCCTCTTCGTTCGAAGAGGGTTTAATTGAAGGCCCATATAAGGGTGTTTCTGTGATACCAACACACCCCCCAAGGAACACCTCTTACGTGACATCGGGGCAGGTGGGTAAACAGAATAGCACAAAAAAGACAGGCAAGATTAATTAGGTCAAGATCAACGAGTGCTTTCACGACAGATTGTGATGTTGGCTAAATATACTGCTACATTAACATTATTTGCACAATAAGCTCACGGTTACTCAATAGTGAACATTACTCAATGTTGTCAGTTATATTGTGCAAGCTGGCAGCACCCCTGTAACCCCTGCTGAATAAAGATCATTAGAACCATTAAGATGAACACCTAATGGTTTTTGCCTCCTAATGAGAATTGCCTTAATGGTTACCCTCAGAGACCACTAGTTTCCTAGTGAAGAATTAGTAATGTATCTAGAGTCAGACACTCTTCATGGTTTCTGTGTTTTTTCACATACGATTGTTATGGAGTGTGTAGCACTACTGAAACTGTTACCAGGCTCTTAATTTTAAATAATTTGGCATTTCTTACCCACACCAGTGCTTTCATAATACAGCATTGTGCATTCAGTTTGCAATAAAAAATTGAGGCTTTCCCTTGTTTATTCAATTCTTTATAGCTATATCTAGTCACTTTTGATGCCCTTGACCTAAATATAATCTCTTGACTTGCAGCACATCAGCCAGGCGGAGTGGGGAGACTCTTCAGCCTGACAAATGCTCTGTTGCATGTTGCGATGTTGCATGTATTGTCCCTGTTGCGGCATGTTATTATAATCTTTTGGTAATATAATCTTTGTCAGTTCCGATACATGTATCTTCATTTTGTGGTATCTGATTTATGTTTAATGGTGTTAGTTATTAAATGCTGGAATTGTTCTTTCTTTGCTGCTACAGATGTTACCTTAGGAGCACATTAGTATTCGTGATGTTGTTATCCTGTGTAGAGCGTCCGGATTTACACATGGGCAAGTAGTCTAGGTCTACAGAGGGTGAGACAGCATGAACGGATGAAACTGCACTGCGAACCGACACCAAAACAGGAGGAAGAAAAGAAAACGGAAAAGCTAAGTATTTACAGTATTTACAACTTAGCTAGACTCAAACTAGCAGTTTAACCAGGTCTCTTGATACCACCGCAAGGTTAAGTATCTCGTTCTACTCTCCACACACGCTACTACTCAAACTGCTACCACCGTCTAGACAGGTGAGAACAGGTGAGCGACCCCACCTCCATCCTGTTACAGGCTTTTAAAGAGGTAGCCCCGTCCCTTTAGAGACTCCATTTCCTAAGCTGGGGGAAACCTCTTAACATACAATTCTCTCACAGAACTCTAAACACTGTCATCGTCATTATTATCATTATTATTTAGTCGTCTCCACCATTGAAAGGACATTTTTCAGACATATCAGCCATTGAAAGATAAGGGGGCGATCCCTCCACCATAAATGGAGTTCATGAATGGACGTCAGGCAGTGAATTCATAACCATTTCATGTAGTAACTTTCTGTGAGGGAGCTTTTAGAGGTGGACGTCTGGTTCCTATCACCACCACTGTGAACAGTTCTGACTCAGTAAGTTTCTCTAGAACGGAGCGTTTCACACCAAACCACTCAGATTATGTCTTAACCAGTTAAATATGCAGAAATTTTGAAAAATAAGTAGACTTCCCCTTTAAATGTGCAGTATTTATTGTGTGCTGGGACTATAAGAACACTGAGCACATTAATATCGTAGTCTTAGTTTTATTTCTGTCTGAAAAGAAAACAGAAATTCACTACACTTATGAAAAAAATACACCTGATGTGAAAAATGAAGCGAATCTTCAGTACAAAAGAATATTAAAAAGCTTGAGCTAGAAATGAAGAAAATAAAGGCAATTAGAAAAATAATCTGACAGACAAAGGAGTTAAAAGCCCAGATTTTATTTTATTGTTGACATCAGTTACCGTAATACCTACATTAATCCCTGTATACCCATTTTGTGATGTAGGTGAGAATGAGGCACAACCGAACACACTTTGTTTTTTGTTTTTTTAAACGAAATGTGGTAATGTGGCCAGAAGCTCATGCTGACTGACCTTTTATAACAACATAAAAAATAAAAAAAAAATTAAAAAGTTAAATTGTCCACTGCGCAAGGTTGTTACCCGTGCTGCCCTACTGTTTCACTTTGCTCTCTGAAGGTGCAGCTTTCCTGGTAAAGATGTTACAAAATTACAGACTTGGTGTTTAAAACTAGAAAATACCTGATGTATTAGATACATTAGAAGAATCTTACATCACAGCATTGATTCCTGAGTTTGGCAGTAATGCAACATTGCTTACTCAGCTACATGTTAAACTTGAAGTGATTTAGCACCACTGAAAACAAAACAACCACCAAGTGACAAACTGCAGAAACTTTATAAAGCAGTGCAAGGCTTAATCAGTCACACGGAATCATCCTTCTCCTGTTTCAACAAAAGCTGTAATAAATGCCATATAAAAGTGGAATAAAGCCCATTGGATTTCCAGTATAGAAATTGAGAATTTCGAGTATAAAAGCAACAAACAGTAAAGCATTGCAGCTGTCCGAGTTTTGGTTCTCAAGGCAAACATTTCAGGCATTCTTTGTACAGTCATATACAAATAATAAAAATAAAAACATGTCAGAAACAGTGACACAGCAGTACATTTATTGCCTTTGGAATGTTGGACAGTAAAGGCACATAAACTCACAGGAGTCTATGTTTGGGTTTCATGTGACTTTCCTTTATAAAGCAAATAGTTCTGGTTCTAAAACCTGATTGAGCCATGAGAATCCAAGTTAAACAGTACCCAAGGTGAAATTACACACACCTGTGACGGTCACGTGTGAAATGCTGACCGGTGTGTTGTCCTTCTCCTGTACGGTGTAGTTCCCGCTGTCTGAAGGCATCATTTCCATCAGAATGAAGGTGTTTTTAACGATGAGGACTCTGGGCTGATATTCAGGAAGACACTGATACTGACGTCCATCCACACTGCACAGCTGGACTGTGGAGGGGGTATCAGGCCTTTTGACCATTATGACCACTGGCTGGGAAATCTGCAGATCCAGTTCAAGGCGTTCTCCAGCATCCAGCTCAAGATCAAGAGCTTTAAAATAAATAAATAATAATTAAAAAAATAATAGAAATAATAATAATAATAATAATAATAATAATAGTAAGATTTGCATCCAAATGTAGGTATTGTGATATAAACTGAGTCTGTTCTACAGTTTCTCATTAGGCTGAATGAATAACCGACTCTAAATGTAGGTATTGTGATATAAACTGAGTCTACGAACACATCAGGCCTGACTGGACATAAAACAGTAGCAAACAATGGAAGTAGTATTGACAGCAGACAGGTAAGTGCTTTTAATGCAACAGACTATGCATCCTCAGTTTCTACCATTTCCCTCTTTAAGATGCCACATACCTTCCACCCAATTTATTTTTATGTATTTAGATTCAAAAGCTTGCTATTTCACTGCTGTTTCACTCAGTGGTGAACAACAATTCCTAGCCTCAGCCATTCTGTCCGGTGTACATTCACTGGATCCTCTGAGTTACAAGATCAAACGAGTAATGCTACAAACAAGCTAACACTGCGTAAGGGTTCAGCCGGCCCCGCCTGCTGCCAGCAGAGGGCGACGGCGGCAGGGTGTCCAGTCTGCGCCGCCTGCTGCCAGCAGAGGGCGACGGGGGCAGCGTGTCCAGTCTGCGCCGCCTGCTGCCAGCAGAGGGCGACGGGGGCAGGGTGTCCAGTCTGCGCCGTCTGCTGCCAGCAGAGGGCGACGGCGGCACGGGGCCATAACTTCAGGGAACTTCAATTCCCCGAACTTCAATTCGGGCTGATTAGGTCCAACTCGACACACCTGCGGACTCCTCTACTTAAGGCCGTGGCAAACAGTGGCGTTTGTCACACCTTTCTTGAGGGGTGACCGGTACGTTACTTAGTGTCAGAAAAGAAAAGAAAAGAAAAGAAAAGAGGGCTGAGAAAAGAAATTGCCCCAAAACTAAAAAGAAAAGGGGGCTGAGAAAAGAAACTGCCCCAAAGCTAAAAAAGAAAAGGGGGCTGAGAAAAGAAACTGCCCTAAAGCTAAAAAGAAAAGGGGGCTGAGAATAACTGCCCCAAAGCTAAAAAAGAAAAGGGGGCTGAGAAAAGAAACTGCCCTAAAGCTAAAAAGAAAAGGGGGCTGAGAATAACTGCCCTAAAGCTGAAAAAGAAAAGGGGGCTGAGAAAAGAAACTGCCCCAAAGCTAAAAAAGAAAAGGGGGCTGAGAAAAGAAACTGCCCTAAAGCTAAAAAGAAAAGGGGGCTGAGAATAACTGCCCTAAAGCTGAAAAAGAAAAGGGGGCTGAAAAAAAGAAACTGCCCCAAAGCTAAAAAGAAAAGGGGGCTGAAAAAAAGAAACTGCCCTAAAGCTAAAAAGAAAAGGGGGCTGAGAATAACTGCCCAAAGCTGAAAAAGAAAAGGGGGCTGAGAAAAGAAACTGCCCCAAAGCTACTTGAAGCCAAAAAAAAGTTCTTGAGCTACAAACGGCTCAAAGAAATAGCCCAGCTAACAGGGAACGTTCCCACAACTTTGACTAACGTTATGTAAAGGTTCTCCTAACGTTAGGAGCAAACGTTCTCACAATAACGTCAATAGAACGTTCTGTAAACGTTATGTGTCCTTGATCAAAGTTCTCACAATGTTAGTCTGAAACGTTCTCAGTGTAACGTTAAAGGAACGTTCTTTCAACGTTTTTTTTTAAATAAATAGTTTAAAGGACTGTATGTATAATGTTCTTGAGACACATATTAGGAAACATTAGTCACTGTTTTACTCCCATTTTTTGAGATGATAATGCGCACAGTTGAAAACTGAATCCATTGTGTTCTACTGGACTTTCTTTAAATATTGATATTTAATTCAATAACAGATTTAAGATAAGCTATTACTTTTCTTTTTTTCTGACTGCATTTAATAAAAACTATATTAAAAGCTGAAACTGCCGGTATCAG